TGTGCCAGGCATTGTTCCATATGACTTAAGTGTGTCATTTAAATCCCCCAACAATTCTATGTTATAGATACTATGATTATGGATATTTTACATATGTAGAAGTGTAGGCCTTCCCAGAAAGGGTACCCAGGTTAAATGTACACAGTAAAGATTTATAATCAGAAAGTCTGTCTTCAGAATGTGTGGTCTTCATCATTACAGTATACTTTAAGTACCATATTATTTCATGGTGACAACCCAGTCGGTATTCACAACAAACTCGTTTTTAGGTTATAATGATATAATGAGAGAATGTAAGAGAGTGAAAACTATGAAATCATTTACATAACTAAGTTTCTTATTTTATTCTTTGGGCTTATAGCCTACAGCAGGAAGCCTTTTTAATCAAGCTTCTTTATATCCATCCAAATTCTATGAATGTGAAACATAAACTCAGCAGGCATTTAGCACTGGAGCTGTTTCTCTTCACTGTGAGATGTGAAGTATATTTTCTTTTGTATATGAGACGTGAAGGAAGGGAAAATGGTTAAAAGAAAAATCAGAGGAAATGAATAAGAACTGTTTTTGAGTCAATTCTCCAAAAAATTCATTTTCTTAGAGCTTTGAGATAAGAAGCAAAATAATAAACATCAAGGAACTGCTGTTAGTCGTAAGAGAAACACAATATAGAGGAAAAGTTATACATAAAAGCTAGGTCAAGAGTCCAAGAATATTGTGAGTCATTATGGTGCATAGTGGATCAATCACAGACTTGAGAGTCAGACGGACCTGACCTTGATTCTTGTCTCTGTGACTTATTAGCTGTGTGACCTTAGGGAGCTGTCTCACCATCTCTAAGTTTTGAAGAAAGTCCACTATGTGGTAGATTAACTGTGATGACTAAATGGAGTAAAATGCGAAGTATAAAATGCATGGCTTGTGACGCAAAACAGGTGTTTGTTAAATGTTAAAGTCCCTTTATCTCCTCTGCCTCCCAGCAACGGCAACAACAACAAAGTAAAAAGAGGGTTACCCTGGGACCTGAAGGGTCAGGGAGTTTCACAATGGGATTATGGGGTCAAGGTTTGTCAGCATTTTTAAGACTCTTGGTCAGCTTTGCCAAATTGCTGTGTAAAAGCAGTTGTACAATGCAGGCATTACATTTTTTAATTAGAAAACCTGATTTTAATTTGCCTATTACAAATGTTGATGGTATTTACTAAGAAGATGGTTAGACTGGATGTTTAACTATTTTTTATTAACTGAATCTGAAACATGAATATATTTCTGATTCTTAGTTATTTTCATCAGTTCCTCTTAATTCATTCTTCAGTTACTGAGGCTTCAATCAAAAAATTTTTTGAATTAATAATTTCAGATAAGTTAGAGATGTACCACTTAGATAAAATTTTGATTTTGGTCATTTGTGTATATTTCTTATCAATTACTCTAACTATAATCCTCTGTCCCCTGAAATAGGGTCTCTGTTTCCTCCACGGAATCTACCACGTGGTAGACAATAATATTCGCTGAATGAATGAATGGATGAAACAGGTTATTTGCAATTTTATGCATGTAAAATAGCTATTAAAGCTTTTGAAAATGTAGCAGTTGCCAAGGATCTCGTTAATAGGTTAGTTTAAAAACTATTAGGGTTGTAGAAGTCAAGTGTATATAGTAGGAAAAAAATAGGAGAGAAAAGGCTAAAAGTCAATAAGAGGGAAACTTAAAAATAAGTAAATAAAGCAATTTGAATAGAATACTGCTAATTTTGTAGTGAACACTTTTATAAGTGAATACACGAGTTTTCCATATTTTCACAAAGTTATAAATTTATGACATAAATTCATCTTTTTAGAACTACATGGAGCAAGAGTGAGTGTAAAACATTTGCAAATATTCATTTTAAAGTTATGATATACCTTTTACTCATGCAAGTAAAGATGCATGAATTTTCCATTCAATAATCACTAATTGAGTAACCATGGCATATCATGCTAAGTCCCGGAGATGGCTGAATAAGACATTGTCATTCAAGCCGTTCACAGGCTGCTGCAGAAGACTGATACACACCCCCTAGCTGTAATGCAAGCCGACCACGATAAGTGTATCAGAGAGTTATGAACAAAGTGATTCGGGGGTGGGGATTATGATTAATATCCAACTGGAGCAATTCCAAAGAGCTTTACAAAAGAAGCAGCATTTGAGTTGGGCCTTTAAAGATGGCCTAGAGCCTGCTAGTGAGAGCAAAGGGTGATGTACATTCTAGGCAGAAGAAGCAGCATGTTTTTTTATATGGCCTGTTTGTGCAATTCTTTTGGCATTTGTTGCTAGCCTCATGTGGCCAAGGGATCCAAACCAGCACATCTTATCACATCCTGTACAAAGTCTCATGCACAGGAGGCACTCTAAGTATTGGTTTCTGAATATCTGAATGAATGAATGAAGAAAATTACGTATCCTTCTTAATATGGGACAATCATTTTCAAATAAAAATTTATACTTCATTGAGGGCTGTTTTACTTTACCTCATTAAACCTATACAATTCAAGGGAAAATTAAAGCTTTGTGAACTCTAATTAACATTCATCTCACCAAATTTTAAGAAAATATAGCTGTGGTCTTTATACTTACCACTCTGCTCTTCTCGTTCTACACTTAATTTCTACACTTTCATTGGTTTGTTTAGATGCATGAGTTCAAATATATCCCCCTGATTTTTTAGTCTAAAAGTAAAACTTCCTTGAACTGAGGCTACAATGCTGCTTATCTGTGAAGTGATATTGGGTTGATATTTTTTATTTCCTCTTTAGAAGCAAAACAAACCCACCCTATTATACACATTCCACATTCTCCAATTAAAAATCGACAAGACAATGATAGAGAATAGGCAAATATTTTCTATTAAATAGTATCCAGTAATATCTGGAGTCATTACCTGGGTTTTAAGGCAATTGCATTTAAATTTGTGCCACAAATGACTGTTCGATTATTTTAGTTAAATGGTAGTTTCAGCCAATTAAAATTTGTCACTGTTTTGAGCCCCTTTTCCTTTTCTTTCCCTTTTAGATTTAGCATGTCTTGGAAATTCAAGTATATTAGAGTATGATTCCTTTATTATTTTTTTTTCCCCTTTGGAAGCCAAAACAAGACTCTTTAGAACATCACAATCCCGAAAGGAAGCTGTAAGACTTAAGAGTGTGATCACGGCTACCTTTCCAGCATCCCAGTCCGAGTCTAGTGTTAGACACAGCAAGCGCAGTTTTTACCTTTGTAATTCTTCAGGGAGGGTAATAATAATACTGCATATTTGGTATTTTATTGTATGTGATCTTCCTTGATTCCCAGAGCAACCTGGAGAGATAAGCAGGATAAATGTTTTCATCCCCATTTGATAAGCAAGGCTCTGTCATTTACCTACAAAACAGGATATGACTCCTCAGAGTCAACAGCTGATAAATGGGTGAGCTGGAACTAGAACTAAGTTTAATGTGCATCCACCTCTGTATTACAATGCCCTTAGGACTTTCTTTTACTGGGTTACTTGTAAGCTATGAGGAAATGTGAGAAGTAAAGGAAAAGAGAAGAGTGATGAAATTGTTTGAAAACTAACTTAAAATGTGGCTAGCATATTTCTGTTGGCATTTGGGGAAAAAGATACTTTATTTGAGAATCATGGTGACATATTTCCATGACATATAATTCTTAGGTTTTATACAAATTAAAAGTTCAGTTACTGTCCCAACATGAACAGGGACTGGAAGGAACAAGTCTCAAACCAGAAGGACTAGTGAGAGATGTTATCATCTCTATAAGAGTTGATGAGATGGAGGAAGGTGTGAGTGAGGAGTTTCGAACTAGATTGTACCTATGGGAATGGAATTGGAAGGAAGAGTGAGCTGAGGAACACTATGAGCCTAGAATAGACAGAATTTGGTGGTTTATGAGAAATGAAGAGAGGAGAGAAGAAAACAGCAGACAGCACTGGACTCTTCCTGCTCTGAATAACCCTAGTAAAGTTAGACAGCTCATACAAGCATAGGAATATTCACGTTACCGGCCCCACACTTTGTAGAAGAAGGAACAGATGATCTCCATAATGTGAAACAAACATGGCTCTCTCATCTAGGACAACTAAGCAGTTACTATGTGTCTGCTCAAACATGTAGACTACCCCAGTGAAAGGGATGGTTTACCTAGTTATCAGTTGTAGCCCCACTGTCAGGAGTATGTTTGAAAATGAAAACAACTAAGTTGTTTTTTGTACTATTAGTTTTAAAATGGGGGCTTTTAATATATAAATATCTAAAAGGAGATGAACAGGAAAACCATGCAAGTGGGTCGGATGCCTATTCGTAGCAAATTTTCAAGTTACCTCTTGATGCTGAGGCATTATGTGTGGGCTGGATTTTATTGGGCTCATTTTCTCTTCTGGAATTCCAATCACCATATTATATAATTGAGGAAACAATGTCGTTGCTCCTTGGCATTGGAATTCAAAGATGAACTACTGCAGGGATTTGTTGCTTTTAAAATCATACATTTGAGAAGGGCTGTCACTCAATTAGTGAACCTATTTTCAATAGAAATTTGAAAAGCTGAAGAAAAATATGTATCTTGCTATATTGTTGATTTTCCTGTTTAGTAAGAGTGTCTCTGACTGCTTGTGTTACACACTCTCAGAGCAAAACACAGGAAAGATTGCTCAGAATACAATTGATGGGTTTGAGTGGTGAACAAAGAAATAAAAAGAAACATACTCCTCATTTATAAGGGAGTATTGGGCTGCTTACACAAAGAAATTTATCCTGGTCCCGCTATAAATCAGAGAAGTGTAAAAGAAAAAGAAATCAGGATGAGGAATGAAAAAAAACAATGAATGTTGTTTTAAAATTGTGTAGCACGTTTGTCATTAAATTAGATGCTATTGCCCAAGGAAACATTTGTTTTTTTCCCAAAAGAGACAAGGAACAAAAGATGTTTATCTTAATAAATCTTTTTTTCCTCTTTGTTTCCTTCAGGGGTGATGGTATACTGAAAAGCCAGTCCATCAAGAGAAATCTGGGGGAAGCTGGAAACCGTCAAGTTATTGAGGCCACACAGGAGGCAGAAAAGATAGAGGTAGGTACACTTTTGATCCATTGATCCTGCTATTGGCAATGTCCCTGAAAATATCTTTGTCACTATAAAGCCAGAAGACAGCAAAGAAAAGGTAGCGTGGGAGGTCTTTATTTTAGAAAACAAATCAATATAGTTTAATCAAGCTTGATAGAATCTATTGTTAACATTAAATGAATAGCAAATAATGCATGCTAGAACTCGAGATACACATTTCCATCCTGTGTCTGCCAGTGATTAGTACAGTGACCGAGCTTGGCTTGATGTTTACACTCATCTCTGGGCTTATTTAAATTGTTCTCAGCAGAGACAGCTAGCCCACCAAATAAAGTTTTATATTTATAGGCTTTAAGTAAGAAGAGAAACTCATAATATTACCTATCAGGTCTTATAAACTTACTACTCTTCTAATACTAATCTCAGAGACCATAGTAATAGATTTATAATCAGTAGATACAAGTAAGTATTCTTGATGATGCTGATTGGTGGACATAAATCTCAAATACTTTTTTGAGAAACAGGTTTCTGTGCGCTGGTGGTATATATCTATATATCCATATAGATATCATATATATTTTGTATATATAAATGACACATATGACAATTATATATATATAAATATAAATGATACCCGTTTGTGTAGGTGAATATAAATATATGTAGATCTCTGTATATACTCATCTGTATATATATTATATATAGTGTATACTATATATACTGTATATATCTGTATATATTCATCAGTATTTATACTACATGTACTGTGTAATACTCATCTGTCTATATACTACGTACACTGTATGCTAGATATACTGTATGTACTCATCTATATATATACTATACTATATACTATATATACATTATACTATATACACTGTATACTACATATACTGTATATCTGTATATACTCATATTCATGTATACAAATTGTGTGTCCTTTAAAAATGAGGCTACATTTATATTGCAGTCTTATTAATATTTCACAAAAGTTCTATTATGCTGGTAGGATTGCTATTTGAGGCCGCTCCAATCCCTGAGTGCTGCGTTTTTCCACCTGGAGTGAGAGACTTGCTCGCCTATTCCGTGTAGAAGGCAGATCAGAGAGCACGGAGTCAGCCTTAGCCCGGGTGAAGGCTCTAACATTCTCCTCCCACTCTCGGATTCCCATGAGAACAAAGCTCCAAGGGAACAGGAAAGAATGGAAGACATTAAATTTGGTTTAGGCTCATTGCCTGGTTTTCTCAAAACAGTACAACTTTCCTTTCAACCCACTGTGATTTTATTTAGACAATGGCAATGGGTTCATTTTCATGTGTTACCAGAGCATTTCTACTTCAATGTTAACTTTTAAATTTATTTCAGCAGAGAATAATGTGTCTTATTTAAATCTGCCTTTTATATGAAGGAATTTCACACAAATAATTTTATCAAAAGCCTTTATATTTCTACATAAACAGCTAAAATCTCCATAAGAAGAAAAAATAGCAAGTAAATTGTAAACATTAATTTTATATTTAAGGAAAATTAAAACTAACATATAAAATAATTTATGGAGGCTTTATTGTGGGTGGAGTGTACAGGGATTTACAAACATAATCTCCTGTAATCCTCACAGTATCTCTGTGTGAGGAAGATAAGGAAGGTGCGGTTGTTCCCTGCGGTAAAAGCGCACCTTGCCAAGTGTGCACATTTAATAGTGGGTGGTGCGGTCAGGATTTGGGGCTAATTTTGTCTGATGCTTAAGCCCATGTCCTTGACCAGCCTGGATAGGAAGATTTGGCAGAAGCTAAAATATCCTGTTTAGATGAGTGAAGTATCTTGTTTTCATTAGGTATTTATAATCTATGTTTGAAAATACACATTTTTAAGGAACACGTTATCCCATACTTGATGAACTCTACAAAAGAGAGGAAATATTTTTCTGATTCATTTAATAAAAAACATAATACTAAAAAACAAAAACCAAAAAGAACCTAATAAAAGTAGAACAAAAAAGAAAAATCACAAAAATTCGTTGAAATATTAAATACAAGAATGTAGGGTTTTGTAGAAATCAACAAAATAGAATAATACAAAAATGGTGTTTATTCTAGGAATGTAAAAGTGGTTCAATATCAGGAAATTTGTTAAAATAATTTTGTAGTCTAAAGAATAAACTAAAGAATAAATACAGGGCCGGCCCCGTGGCTTAGCGGTTAAGCGTGCGTGCTCCCCTGCTGGTGGCCCGGGTTCGGATGCTGGGCGCGCACCGACACACCGCTTCTCCGGCCATGCTGAGGCCATGTCCCGCATACAGCAACTAGAAAGTTGTGCAACTATGACGTACAACTATCTACTGGGGCTTTGGGGAAAAAATAAATAAATAAAATTATAAAAAAAAAAAAAAGAATAACTACAACCCCTATTTTTTACTTCTTAATAGATTCCAAATGACATTTGATAAAATGCAACTATATTTATTTTAAGAAAACATACATACATATAATATAGTAATTTAGGAATATGGAGATGTTATTAAATTGTGAAAAAGCAATTTCGAAAAAACAGAAAAACATTAGAGGCTTACTACATGCCCCATTTCATCATTTATAGTTAATATTGTTCAATAAATTCTAGCCAATGCAATATATTTAAAAAAATGACTAGCATTTTTAAAGTTCTTATAACATATGCTAGAAATTGTTCTAAATACTTTACAAATACTTAACTTATTTAATCTTCACAATGATCCAAGATACATGGACTACTATCATTCTCATTTTACCAATTAGGAAACTGAGGCCCAGAGAAGCTAAGTAGGTTGGCCAAGGTCATAGAGCTAATAAGTAGTAGAGCTCAAGTAGTTTAACTCATGAGTCTTTAATCTTAAATAATATAATATGCTGCCTCTCAAAGGCTACAATTACTAGAAAAGAGGTGACGTCTTTTCTCCTGAAAGAAATGTATATATTTTTTGCTGTTAATAGGTGGCTTTTTCTCAAGAAGCTTAGAGGTCTTGGTCCTGGTGGTTGGCTAACGGCCATCATCAGTGTCCTCCTATAAGGAATTTTAGGTACTCATGAAGTTGTATCCTTGGCAGATCCATCCTGCTGGCTCATGAGACATGCCTGGAAACGTCTAAATTAAAAATATATGTATATACAGCTTAATCCCTAGCTCTAACACCCTCATAAACAAATATTAGTTTAAACATGTATCTTGATTTATTCTTAGATGCATGCTTAGCATATATATTATTGATTATCCTCTGAAAAAGTCCTGGAAGTAGCCAAAAGAAATGTATAAGATGTTTTCTTCTTCTCATGAGTAATAAACGCAAAAGAAAGGCTGAGCCACTTTGTGTTAAATAAGAGTAACAAAATCAAACAAGCACAACCCTAAAGATAAAGAAATAAATCTTGTTAATTTTCATGCTAGCCAGACTGTCACTTTTGAAGACTGTTGAAAAGCTATTTGTAAGCCGCCGTGCGTTCTGGAGGGGAAAATGGGCAACAAAGCAAATAAAACAACGACAAGAAACAAAAGAGCAGAACAAACAGATGCCCTTGTAAAGGAGAGAAAAGGGAATGCATACAAGAATGGAGTTGGTCATGACAGTTTAGCATGATTGTGAGTGATCAAAATAATTGTCATTTAATGTTCATAGTGTTTGCAAAACTTATTTTCTCATTCCTTCATTCACTAAATATTTACTGAGCACTTACGCCGTTTACCCTGGGCCAGGCACTGTTGTGAGCACTGAGGATACAGAGCTGAAGACACTTGGCAATTCCCAGGGTTTGTGAACTGCCAGAATGGAAATGCTGATTTAGAGAAAAATTGACTAGAGGGCTGTGAAGAGACCCAAAAGAGGGTCATTTCAGAAGTGGCTGATGTTCAGTACTTTAAGGAGGTCCTAGGGATGACACGCTAACTTTCTTCTATCTTGTGAGGAATATTGTCTGCTGTGTATGATTGAGAAGGTTGAGTGGATGAGAATCAGAGGAATTTTTTTTTTTTTTGGTGAGGAAGATTGTCACTGAACTAATATCTGTTGCCAATCTTCCTCTTTTTGCTTGAGGAAGATTGTAACTGAGCTAATATCTGTGCCAATCTTCCTCTATTTTGTATGTGGGATGTTGCCACAGCATGGCTTGATGAGTGGTATGTAGGTCCGCGCCCAGCATCCGAACCCGTGAAACCAGGCCGCTGAAGTGGGTGCATGAACTTAACCACTACACCACCAGGCCAGCCCCAAGACATGTTTTTATTCAATCAAAGGAATGGCTGATTGAAATTATAACAAGCTACCTCTGGTAACTGAGATGGTTCCAGAAGCTTGTTACCGCTAGGAAGGAATGTGGCACATGGGATTCATATATGGGATGGTGAGGGGCTGGGGATGGAGGGTTGGTAATTAACTCATCTCTGAGGACAAAAGTTCCAGGATCTGTTATTGAGATCGTTGATGTGGGAAGGGCTCCCCTGAAGACAATACAATGAGGGGCTCTAAGGCTGCTTTGGAGTCAGACCCACCAGCCTGGCACTTAACTCTTAGACCTTGGCCAACTTTCTCATCTCTGAGCCTTAGTTCTTACTTCAAAGAAATGGAGATAGTAATAGTATATGTCTCACAGGACTGTAGTGAGAATGGAATAAAATAATGAGTGTAAATGAACTAATTTAAAATGTTTAGCCTATAATAGTCACTCAATAAATGGTACTATTTTTACGGGGACCTAGAGTCTCACCTTGGGATACTGCCTTAAACAATCCGGAAAGTTAAGATGATACCCATTAATGTAGAAAGTCCCTCTCTCCCTATCCTGGGATTTGTAAAAACAAAATCTTTCTAAAATGTGCTATGAGACGTAGTAAACATGTACAACATGACAAAACACATTGGACCAATTGTTCCATTTCTTAGCATTTGCTTATTTTTTGTCTGTCCTTAGATGCTGGAGAGATTCCTTTTTTAGCTCAGTCTCTAGCTCTTTGAATTATGCTAAGGGACCTATATTGTC